ATGGGTTGGTCGGATTAAATTGGAATTCGGTCGGGGGTTCAAATAGCTTCAATTGAGTTCAATAGGGGTGCAGAATCGGACTAAAATTGAAATAAAAATGGGGCTAACATTTAAATAGCCACTTTTCCCTGTTTGATTTATAAAAAATAGTAAAATAATTTCTGGAAATAAATTAAAGGTACTAAAATGATTAATAGCACATAATTAACTATTTAAAAATACCAGACCTAATTTTTATGAATATAAACGTAATTAATCCTAAAAAAGGCTAATATTGTAATTACATACAATTTAACTTTAAAAGTACTAAATGGCCTTGTAAAAATATGCAAAAATTATATTAGCCACATTTTAGTATAAATATGAAAATCCAATAAATGAATCACCAAAAATGATAATTTTGGGAATAATTATTGGGTTTTATTTTATGGATAAAATAGGGCAATAAATCGATTAAAAAATCATTAAAAATTAAGGAAAAAATAGTAAAACATTTGGACATACTTATATATGCATGCACATGCTATTTTGAAAGTATCATGTACATTAAAAATATATAGGGAAAATTGGGTATGAACAGCTGCCCCTCTTTACCCGGGAAGGATGAAAGAGTTTTCGGGTAAAGAAATGATGACCAATTTTGACCGAACGAAATGGTTCGAGGAGGCTTAGGCTGTGCCCTGGCTTCTGAGCTGCCTACATATCTCTGGTTATACAGGAATCAGGCCATATTAGTTCAGGATCCGTCGGCGGAGTATGCCGATGGAGACTTTTCAAGAACGGACGCAATATTCAGGACGAGGAAATCGTTACGGTTTGACATGGCTGCGGGAACCGGAGTGGTATAGCTCTTGCCGAGACGGCCGTTGCTCGCCGGTTTACCTGCAAATAAGAAATACAAGCATATATTGTGCGTAAATTTAAACATGATGCAATTTCCCGTTGGACCATGAGGATTGTCTCCAGACGGTTAGAATGACGTCCTTAGACTATGATGTCCTGGGCCATGAAGCGTATAATAAAGGATTCGCGGGCCATGAAATGATGCTCTCGGGCTATGAGAATGATGCCTCCGAACCATGATGCCTTTGAATAATGATATGCGAAAGATTAAGAGGGGTCCTCAGGATATGGCATGGTGTTCTCGGGCTATGAAAATGGTGCCTCCGAACAATGACGCCTTTCGATAATTTGGCGGTCATGGTGCCTCCGAACAATGACGCCTTTCGATAATTTGGCGGTCTTTCAGCCCATGAGATATAATAGGTGGCGATCTTTCAGCCATGCAAGTGTAAATAAGTTGGCGATCTTTCAGCCATGCAAATGTAAATAAGGTGGCGACCTTTCAGGCATGCGAGTGTAAATAAAGTGGCGATCTTTCAGCCATGCAAGTGTAAACAAGGTGGCGATCTTTCAGCCATGCAAGTGCAAATAAGGTGGCAATCTTTCAGCCATGCAAATGTAAATAAGGTGGCGATCTTTCAGACATGCAAATGTAGAGGTGGCGATATTTCAGCCATGCAGGTGTAAATAAGGTGGCGATCTTTCAGCCATGCAAATGTAGATGGAGGTAGAGCTCAACCTCGGAAGGCAGAATGGTAGCCTTATGCAATGCAAAATGCAGATGGAGACATCGTTTAGTCTCGGAAGGCAGAATGGTAGCCTTATGCAATGCAAAAAATGCAGATGGAGATAGCGTTTAGTCTCGGAAGGCAGAATGGTAGCCTTATGCAAGAAATAAAAGGGCAAATGGTGATAGAGCTTTCTTAGCTGATAGCAGATTGCGGTATCGTGACTACTGGGGACACTATGACACACGGAATATCCCTGGCGTGCGTGGATAGCAAATGTTGGTAAGTGCGATAGTTCTGAGAATTGTATTTCTGAACAATGTTTGTCTTGTGAGTGTGTAGCATGCCTGATGCTTTCGTAATCCCAGTGCCTGCATCCAAAGAAAAATCTTGATTTTTGTAGAGGGGGAGGTTAGTTCGCATCCCCTCTGGATCTGCTTGACCTGTTCGGCTTTGATTTGGTGATACAGTATGTATCATTGGGGGTAGCGTTGCTAAACAAGTCGATCTCGATAATAAACATGCATGAATTTGTAAAAATATGACATAAGTATACAATTAAGAAACAACTTTTAGATGAACCGACGACTGTGACGTGGCTCAAGACATTGCGACCTCTCTTGCTACGGAATTTTGAGGTTCCTCCTCAAAATTCTGCCCCAGTTTAACGGGTTGATGCTTTTGACAGTTGCTTGCGATGATTGGCTGAAATTACTTCGGAATTTTGAGGGTCCTTTTCAAAATTCTGCCCCAGTTTCCAATTGCGGGGGGAAATGAAAATTTTATTGAATTGTGACCGAACCCATAGGGCTGCCTACGTATCCCCTCTTAAACGGGAATCAGGTCAGACGTAGTTCAAAATTAGGAAAGCATATAAATTACACGTAGTAACATTTGACTGCATCTGAGTTGATTGGCTTTGGCCAGACTTCTCCGTCCATTTCTGCGAGTATGAGGGCTCCTCCTGTCAGAACCCGATGAACCATGTTTGGGCCTTGCCAGTTTGGAGAGAACTTCCCTTTGGCCTCGTCTTGATGCGGAAAATTTTTCTTTAATACCAGTTGCCCTGGTGTGAACTGTCTGGGCTTGACTCTCTTGTTGAAGGCTCTGGACATTCTGTTCTGATAGAGTTGACCATGACAAACTGCGTTCATTCTTTTCCTATCTATAAGAGCTAGCTGCTCGTAACGACTCTTCACCCATTCTGCATCGCCGAGCTAAACTTCCTGTATGATCCTTAAGGAAGGAATTTCTACTTCGACGGGAATGACGACTTATGTACCAAAAACCAGCATATAGGGGATTGCCCCTGTTGACGTGCAGACCGTGGTGCGATACCCCAATAAAGCAAATGATAGCTTCTCGTGCCACTACTTATGCTTCTCTATCATTTTCCTCAATATCTTCTTGATATTCTTGTTGGCGGCTTCTACGGCTCCATTCATCTGAGCCCTGTAGGCTGTAGAATTCTTATATCTGATCTTGAAGGTTTCACACATGGCTTTCATCAAGTCGCTGTTGAGATTAGAACCATTATCAGTAATGATTGACTCTGAAATCCCGAATCGACAAACGATGTGGTTGCGGACAAAGTCTGCCACGACTTTCTTAGTTACTAATTTGTAAGATGTTGCTTCGACCCATTTGGTGAAATAGTCGATGGCTACTAGGATAAACCTGTGCCCGTTTGAAGCTGCAGGCTCGATTGGTCCAATAACATCCATTCCCCAGGCGGCGAATGGCCATGGTGAGCTCGTTGCATTAAGCTCATTTGGAGGTACCTTTATCATGTCTGCATGTATCTGACAGCGGTGGCATTTTCATACATACTGGATGCAGTCCGTCTCCATAGTCATCCAAAAGTAACCAGCTCGGAGTATCTTCTTTGCTAAGACAAAACCGTTCATATGTGGACCGCAGGTCCCGGCGTGAATTTCCTTTAGTAGCCTGGATGCTTCCTTTGTGTCGACACACCATAACAATCCCAAATCAGGAGTCCTCCTATATAGGATTCCTCCGCTGTGGAAGAAATTATTGGATAACCTCCGAAATGTGCGCTTCTCAATAAGATTTGCAAGTTCTGGGTACTCTCATTTTGCCAAATATTCCTTGATATCCTGAAACCAAGGCTTTCCGTATGCTTCTTCTTTGACATGGGCACAATAAGCTGGCTGATCATGGATCTTTACTGGAATGGGATCAATGAAACTTTTGTCTGGATGTTGTATCATGGATGATAGGGTGGCCAATGCATCGGCGAACTCATTCTGATTCTGGGAACATGCCGGAACTCCGTCTTCGTGAACCTCTTTCTCAATTCCTGTACATGATGCAGGTACGGGAGTATCTTGGAGTTCTTGGTCGCCCATTCCTCTCTTACCTGATGTATAAGCAAGTCTGAATCTCCAATTACTAGCAAATCTTGTACGTTCATGTCAATGGCCATCTTGAGCCCTAGGATGCAGGCTTCGTATTCGGCCATGTTATTGGTGCACGGGAACCTGAGCTTGGCGGACACTGGATAATGCTGACCGGTTTCTGATACCAGGACGACTCTTATGCCAACTCCTTTGAAATTTGCTACTCCATCGAAAAACATTCTCCAACCGTCATAGGATTCTGCAATGTCTTCTCCTATGAATGATACCTCTTCATTAGGAAAATACGTTTTCAGGGGTTCATATTCTCCATCTACGGGATTTTCCGCAAGGTAATCTGCTAGTGCCTGTCCCTTGATTGCCTTCTAAGTTACGTAGACAATGTAGAATTCACTCAACAGGATTTGCCACTTGGCTAGTTTGCCGGT